AGAGTTGGGGCTGACCCTGAAGACACGGGTCAGCCAGTCCAGCCTGTTTGGAGACATTATGCTGAGAGCAGGCCAGAACTTACTTCCCTCCAGGTCTTTCTTTCCATGCTTGTCTATCGGCCCCTCTAATCCCCACACCCCCCCCCCACATGCCAACACACTCGTACACAGACACTGTCGCTAGAATGATGCTGGCTGATTTGCATATGCTTTCCCTTAGAAAATACTCTTCTAGTAACCAAGGACTCGGGAAATAAACACAGAGAATCAGGAATAACTTAAACTGTAGAGTGAGGGGGAATCCTTCCAATGCTTTAGGGCAAAGCAGTCCCAAAGGAGAGGAGTGCCAAGGTCAGAGGGCATTCTGGGGAACTGGGAGAAGCTGCTCTGATGAGTCTTGTGGGACCTGGAACTGGGGGCAGGGGGTCACTTAGGAGAAGCAGGTGGTGGCTGACAGAGCAGGGGCGTTTAGGAAGAGGGATGAGGCCAGTATCGTGGCCCCATTCCTACCACTCCACCCTCTGTTCCCAGTGCTCCCAGACATCCTCTCCCTTCCATATATTGCTGGCCTCGGCTCCTGTGCGCTTCCATGTGCCAGGTCTGGTGCTAAGCCCTGGAATTGCATCATTCCATTTTATCCTTACAGTGAAGCCATGACGTGGAAACTATCATCCCCATATTATAGATGAGAAATCTGAGACCCAGCGAAATTTGGTAACCTACCCAAGTTCACACAGTTAAAAAAGAGGCCAAACGGGTTTTCTCTTCCATCCCTAACCAACGCCAAACTTCACTGCTGGCATGGAAGTGCCACACTGTGCCTAACCCCAGTTGGCTGTGAATAAAAGGGGAGTCCCCATGGCAAGTGCTTTCCTGCTTGTCTGGGCTTGGGCATGGGCTTGAATAGGTCTCACCTGCACCAGCCAGAGGCCACAGGACACTCCTGCCCACTTAGGCATTTAGCCCTGCTCGCTGGGCTTCACTGCTCCAGCATCCCGTTCCCCAGTCTTTGGTCTAGCACATGGCCTCAGGGTGGCTTGTAGTGTTCCCCCACACCTAGGTCAGGCTCTTAGAGGGAAGTGCGGTTTCAGCAGAGCTGGATTCCTATGGGGGCTCCCTCAATCAGAACCTGGAGCTAAGGAGGCAGCAGAACTGAAGTCTGACCTTGGCCCAGATCTCCTATCTTGGCCCCTGTCCAGAAGGGGGTGCTCAAAGGAACCGGAAGTGAGTACAGCTACTTGTTTCATTTGCTGACACTGCAGAGAGGACCCAGCCCAGGTTACCAGGGACACTGCCCTTCAGGAGAGGCCTTGGGGATATCCCCCTCATAGGGCAGAGGAAGGGCCCCTGCAAGCACACAGTCTCCCCCAGGGTTGGTTTTTCCCACCCTATGATGACCAGGCCTGACCCAAGAACCTGTGCTCGGAGCCACGTGCCAGCACCCCACCCCATTCCATTTGCTCAGCCTCTGCCCTTATCTCTGTCGCAGCTTTGTGGGACTCCTTAGGGTGACTCCCTGCTATGAGAAACATTTTCCAGAGGGCTTTCCTCCTGAGGTGATGAGTTTTGGAATCCCTGAGTCACTTCAGCTTCCAGGGAATCCTTAGGGGTGTGGGGTATGGGGGTGGAGTGAGGAGAATGCTGGAGGCGGGAGCAAAGGAAAGTTCATGTGGCACCTGACATCAAAGGACCCCTCCCAGCACGTCCTCACCTGCCTGGACCTGACCTGGCAGCCAAAGATAGCTTGCTGGGATTCCTGCCCCTGTGTCCCTGAGAAAAGGGGTCAGCATCTGCCAGGAAAGGAAAGGGAAGACGTCATGGAACACAGCTCCCATCCTTGGCTTGGAAAGGCTCTTGGGGCTTGTGGGAAGTTAGAATATGGCTGTCCAGGCCAGGCGTGGTGGCTCACACCTGTAATCTCAGCACTTTGGGAGGCTGAGGCAAGAGGATTATTTGAGCCCAGGAGATTGAGACCAGCCTGGGCATCAAAATGAAACCTTGTCTCTACAGAAAAAATACCCCCAAAATTAGCCAGGTATGGCAGTACACACCTGTAGTTCCATCTACTTGGCAGGCTCAGAAGGAAGGTTCACCTGAGCCCAGGAGGTCGAGGTTGCGATGAACCTCGAGCATGCCACTGCACTCCAGTCTGGTGTCAGAGTGAGCCTCCAACTGGAAGGAAGGAAGGAAGGAAGAAATATGGCTGCCCTGTACCTTCTCAGAAAGATATTCAAGTCCTCAAGTCTTCACCTGCTACCTTGAAGTCTTGGCACTGCCAATGATCAGCCCTTGACCTTGGACCCTCTGTCTACTCTTCCCTCCTCGTCTGTAGAAGTGTGTGTGTTTGGGCGGGTGGGAGTGGGGGGAATGTTGACCTAGGTGGTCACAAATGTGCCAACCAGCTTAGCTGCTCCAGACTGAAATAGTGCTGACTCTACAGAACTCAGCAGGGCCTGTTGAAGTCCATCTGCACTCACCTTCCGTGAGGATAGGGCAGTGGACGTTAAAATGTTGACATACTTCTGCACCTGCTGGCAAACAGATGCTGCCCTCAGCCTTGGGACACCCCCACCTCAACTCCCTGTGCCCCAGCAGCTAAAGGGCAAGTGCCTGGCACCGGCAGAGGCGTCCACAACAGTGCTTCCATATTCTGATTGGTAGGTGACAACAGTTTAGCAACAAAAATGCTTAGGCTCAGGAGCCTACCTTCAAGGAGAACCCAGTCTGGCCTGGGAGACACATGGAGAATCAGAGTTATCAGGACAAAAAAAAACCAACACCCCTAACCCCTGACCAGGGCAGAAGCCACTCCAAGGAGGGCCCTTAGGTTACTCAGCTTTGTCCTAGAGTTTTGGCTACCCTTGTGCACCCGTCTACTCGCCAAATTAACTGAGTACCTACTATATGCCAGGCATTATTCTAAATGCTAGAAACATAGAGGAAGACACGCCAGATAAAGTCCTCGCTTGGTGAAGCTTGTGTTTTAGGAGAAGACATGATAAACAAGGAAACAAGATCATTTCTGATAATAATAAGTGCTGTGAAGAAAATGAAACAGTGTTATGAGATAGGGAGTCACTGTGGGTGGGAAGGAGTGGGAGAGTGGGAAGGCAACTTTAACCTGGAGAGCCAGAGAAGGCCTTCCTGAGGACGCAGTATTAGACACAATGAGGGAAAGAGTCTGGGGGAAGAGTGGTCTAGGCAGAGGGAGCAGGACATGCGGAGTCCCTAGAGGTGGGAAAGAGCGTGACATATTTGAGAAGCAGAAAGGACAATGTAGGTTAAAAAGAAAAACAAGGCCTGAGGGCCAGGTACAGTGGCTCATGCCTGGAATCTCAGCACTTTGGAAGGCCGAAGTGAAAGGATTGCCTGAGCCCAGAAGTTCAAGACCAGCCTGGACAACATGGCGAGACCTCATGTCTACAATAAATCAAAAAATTAGCCAGACATGGTGGCACACATCTGTAGTCCCAGCTACCTGGAAGGCTGAGGTAGAAGGATCGCCTGAGCCCAGCAGGTTGAAGCTACGGTAACCGTGAGCATGCCACTGCACTCTAGCCTGGACGACAGAGTAAGACTCTGACAAAAGGAAGGAAGGGAAGGGAAGGGAAGAAAAACAAAACAAGACCTGAGGGAGAGAGTGAGATGAGATGAGATGAGATGAAAGAGGAGGGCAGGCACAGATCACACAGGGTCTTACAGGCTATCATGGGGCATCTGAAGTTTATCCCAAGCTCAGTGGATAGGTGTTGGCTGGATTCAAGCATGAGCTATGTGATGAGTATCTTGAGGGCTGGCTCCAAATATCAATAACAACAGTTGCTTTTGTCCAATATACACCTATCATGAGTCAGACACTGTTCCCTGAGATTCTCTTAATCTTCACAACAAGCCAATGCTATAGGTTCCACTATTACCCTCACTTTACAGACAAGGAACCAGAAGCTCCAAGAGGTCATGTAGCTTGCCACTACCCCATTCACAATAGCCAATATTCCACCCGCCCCCCTAAAAAAACCCCCTCAGCATCTTCCTAACCAGAGAAGTGAAAGATCTTTACAATGAAACTACAAAACATTGCTCTAAGAAATCCAAGAAGACACAAACAAATGGAAAAATATCCCATGCTCATGGATAGGAAGAATCAGCATTGTTAACATGTCCATCCTACCAAAGGCAATCTACAGATTCAACGCAATACCCATAAAATTACCAGCGTTGGCCGGGCTCGGTGGCTCAGCCTGTAATCCCAGCACTTTGGGAGGCCGAGGTGAGAGGATTGCCTGAGCCCATGGGTTCGAGACCCATCCAGGCAATTTGGCGAGACCTCATCTCTACAATAAATCAAAAATTAGCTGGGCATGGTAGCTAAGGAGCCCAGCAGGTCGAGGTTGTGGTGGCCAGGAGCATGCCACTGCCTTCCAGCCTGGGTGGCAGAGTGAGACTCCAACTCAAAAAAACAAACAAATAAATAAATAAATAAATAAATAAATAAAATTACCAGCATCATTCTTCTCAGACCGGAAATGACAATACAGAAATTCATAATGGCCAAAACAATCCTTAGCAAAGGAAATAAAGCAGGAAGTACACACTTCCAGACTTCAAATTTTACTATAAGCCTGCAATAATCAAAACAGCCTGGTATTGGTACAAGAACAGGCATACGGACCAATGGAAAAGGATAGATTCCAGAAGCAAAACCTCAACTTCTCAAACAACAGCAACCACTGGGGAGAGGAGAAACTATTCAGTAAATAGTGCTGGGAAAACTGGCTGACCACATGCAGAACAGGACCCCTACCTATCACCATACACAGAAACCAACTCTAAATGAATCAAAGACCTAAATGTAAAACCTCAAACTATAAGAACCTTAGAAAATATAGGAGATACCCTTATGGAAATTGGAACTGGCAACCAATTCCTGATCAAAACTCCAAAGTGCCCATGCCATAAGAGATAAGATAGACAAGTGGGACCTCATCAAACTGAAAAGCTTCTGCTAAGCAAAAGAAATAATCAAGAGAGCAGGAAGACATCCCACAGACTGGGAAAAAATATATCTGACAAAGGCCTAACATTTAGGATCTATAAGGAACTCAAACGTGCCAAAAGGAAAAAAAAAACAGTTCTATTCAAAAGTGGGTAAAAGACATGAAAGACACTTTTCAAAAGAAGATATAAAGGCTGCCAACAGACACATGAAAAAGTGCTCAGCTTCACTAATCATCAGAGAAATGCAAATCAAAACCACTTTGAGATACCACCTA